AAATTTTAATTCTGTTTTAAATATGCAGTGTTTAAAAAGAAAGATATGTAAAAATGTCCTAAAATAAAATTAGTAGGAAGTACAATACTAAAATAATAAAAAAACTATATTTTAAAATACTCAGACTTCAAAAGAAAAAAAGTGTTGTTATGTTTATTAGGTTCCATAGAGTTGAGTAAGTACAACTCATAGAGACCCTATGAAAAACAGATCCGAATCCTGTCCTATCCTGTGTCACCTATCTCTGACATACTTTAGTCTACTACTGCAGTCACTGTGTCAATTCACCTGGATGAGCGTCTACTTATCTTTTGTCGTCCCTCAATCTTCCCGAACAGAATGTCCTCGTCCAAGTAATAGTCTTTTATCAATATGCCCAAAGTATGTGAGATGGAGCCTTATCATCTTTGCCTCCTAGGAACTGCACTCTGGCTGCACCCTCTCCAAAATATAACTGCTCTTTTGGCAGTCCATGGGATATTTAGTACTTTTCTGAAACACCACAATTCAAAGGTATTAATTATTCTGTCATCCTTACTGACTGTCTAGCTCTAATCAACAAAGCAACTACAGAAAAGGCTATAAATCAGACACACTTCAGTCCTTAAACTGACATCATTGCTCCTCAATAATTTGGAAAGGTCCTTGACTACATATATTTTCAATGGAATACACCTCCTGATCTCTTGGCTGAGGGTACCAAGTATACTGACTCTGGATTCAAGTAAGATGAATTTGTTGACAATCTCAATTTGTATCTATTTATCATGATTTTGCCTATTGTTGTTTCTTGACAGTGAAATGTAATCTGTATTGAAGGCCGCTCAGTTTGATCTTCTGGAGCAAGAGCTTCGAGTATTCCTTACTTTCAGCAAGCAAAGTTGTGTCATCTGCATAATGCAGGTTTTTGATCAGTCTCTTTCCAATCCTGATGCCACATTCTTCTTCACAGTGCGGAGCTTCCTGACTAATTTGCTCAACATACAGATTGAATAGGTATGGAGAAAAGATGCAACCCTGAGTTGTTTCAGAACCCAAGAGATAGCAAAAGGACAGCAGAAATGAATATAAGTTAATCCTAAAAACAGTGTTTTTATACACTAAAAAGCTAGAAGAATATTTGTTAACACCAATAAAAACAACATAGTTAGGAAGGAAAGTGAGTTTGAAGAATAAAATAGTAAGTGCCATTTTAGATTTGTAGTGTTTAATGAGATAGTTAAGTAAAAATGTCCTAAAAGAAAATTAGAAGGAAATATAACACTAGAATAGAAGAATGCTCTTTTTAAAAATAAGCTAAAAAAATAAGAAGAAAAAAAGTAAAAGGCTCAAATATGTAACTTTAAGAATTGTCAAAACAAAACCAGAGTTTTAATGAAAATGATGACAAATTTCTATATCTCTAATATAAATTTTTGTAATCATTTTCATAAGATGAATTGTAGGCATTCTCCCCTCTAAGGAAAGGGCAAGTGCCGACTTTATCTTTTAAGTACGTATTGAATGGTTGGAAGAAAAACAAAAAGATGGAGATAGGGGTGCTGTGTGTTGATAAAATAATAGTGGACACCAGGTGGAAATATAACAGGAAAAAGACATTTCCAGACTGTGACTAGAAATAAAAGAACTTGTAAGTTTCACTAGAGACAAATTCAGTGAAATGTAGAGAAAGATGATAAAAATGGTATTTAATGTTTTAAATGCATGAATTTACATTTAAATGCATTCCACAGTACTAGGATTTAACTTTAGCAAAAGAAGGACCATGTGATAAAACAGGTAATGAATGTTTAAGTATATTCTCAAACAGTAGGATGTATCATGACTATTTCTGACTGAGGCAATGTTAAAGACTAGAAGCCCAATGATGTAATTGTCAGTTAAGCTAACCACCATCTCCTAGAACAGTCTATCTCAAAGCTAAATCTGGAGGACCCAGTCAAAAAGCAAATTCAGTGCCAAATGATGTTAAGAAGATAGTGCTATTTTAACAATTCTAACAAGCTCCCAGGTGATGCCAATACTGCTACTGTATTCTGAGCAATACACTGTTAGACCGTATCTTCCTTTTCAAAAAAGGCAATATTTGATATATATTGCCTATAAACCATTACAGGGTATCTTATGTTCTTAGACATATCTAAGAAATACCTAAGATATTTTATTATGACTTACAAAAACATTGGATGGATTTCAAATGCTAATATTTTGAAAGTTCAAGATGAATTATGTTTCAGGATATTAAAAATATTCATACATGCTCTCTCCTCCTTCCAGGATAAAATTGGTAATTGCTGTATTACAATTTTATAAATTTTTTAGTTGTATAAACGAGAAAATACTATTACATCAAATCTTGAGGCTGTGTAAGATTTCCAAATGTTAATAGCCATCATTTCACAGTACTCATCACTAGTTTCAGTAAATCCTGTTTACTCACAGTGTCCTTTGTAAAATAACTAAATCCTTGGAGATAAAGGTAACAATGTTTAAAAAATATCCTCTTGAACAATACTTAAAAATTACAACACTTAAATCCTTAAGACTTCTGTACTAGTGATCTCTGGTGGCCAAGTGGCAAGGAGATGCACTGAAATCCTAGAGATGTGTGGTTCAAATCCAACCAGATACTCTGCTGAAGGAAGAACAATTGCCTCCTGTACCAGTCAGATCCGATTTGATGGTACACACATAAATAATAACAATAATAATAATAATACTCCTGTACTGAAAAAGTATTTATGTAACTAAAGTCTCTTACTATAAACAAATTTTTTTTACAAAAATATACATGCAAAACAACTATGAGTTATCATCTCACCCCAGTAATAGCAAAATTTAACAGAACAGCAAGCAACAAATGCTGGCAAGGTTGTGGGGAAAGTGGAACTCTTATTTACTGTTGGTGGACGTGTAAAATGGTGCAACCACAATGGAAGGCGGTGTGGTGCTTTCTCAAAAGGTTGCAAATAGAGATACCATTTGACCTAGCAATTCCACTACTGGGAATATACCTCAAAGAAACCATAACTGCCACCTAAGCAGATATAGGCACACACATGTTTATTGTGGCTTTGTTCACAATAGCAAGGAGTTGGAAACAACCTAAGTGCCCATCAACCAACAAATGAATAGAGAAGCTGTGATATATTCACACAATGGAATACTATGCTGCATTGAAAAACAAGGAAACTCATGCAATATTATTAAAAATTGGTGATCCTGGAGGACATTATGCTGAGTGAAATATCTCAGTCACACAGGGTCAAACACTGCATAGTGACACTGTTGTAAAATGGGACTGATCTTCGGGTTCGGGGGGAGACTGAGAAAGATGGGATAAATTATGTATACTGCATTGAAATAGATGAGGGAGAAAACTGTTTAAAAGGAATATATGATTAGGTATTATTGTCATGACAGGAGTCCAGAACAAAGGCTGCATAGTGGAGTGGACTAGGGGGAAGGATTGTAAAACAATGAAAGAATTTTACTTTTCAAAGAGAAGAATGAACTGGCAGGGAGGGATGGGCAGGAGAAGTGCAACAATGAATGAATGGAAATCCAGAGTCTCTGTAAATTTTCATTAAAATAATTAAAAAAAAGAAAAAATAAAATAAACCCACTATATGTATTTGTGCACTTACACATACACACACATTACATAAGACTGGCAGATTAGGTTCTCAGGATGAAATTTAAGAATCAAGTTCATTTTTAACCAAATTAATGATTAATAGTAACTGTCTTAGAAGAAGTGTAGCCAGAATATGTTCTTTAGGAGTGAGGAGGGGGAGACACTGTCTCATATAGTCTGAACATGTTATTTGGAGGGACCAGTCCCTGGAGAAGGACATCATGCTTGGGAGAGTCACAGCAAAAACCAAAGATGCTCAACAAGACGGACTGACAAAGTGGCTGCACCAATGGGCTCAAACAGCCCCAACTGTGAGAGTTGTGCAGGAGTAGAAAGAGCTTCCTTCTGTGGTACGTGCACTATGAGTCAGAGCTGACACAAAGGCACTTAACCGCCACCACCTTTTAGATCAATTATGGTATCAGTACCTGGAGGACAGAAACAGTATCTTAAAATTGGTAAGTGTTGCAGAAGATTAAATTTAACTATTCCATTAGAAGCTGACAAGTTCAATGTAATGTAGCCTGCTAGAGTTTAAAAAAAAAAAAATTAAGGAAAGGGAAAGATTCATCCTGGTAATTTTCATATGTATCAACTATATCTTTGTCTGCAAAATGTAGGTGAAGCAATCTCTGGTTTCTCTAATGATGATGTCAAAGTTAACTTTAACAAAAGTCTATAAATTATTGATAGCCAAGAAAGGAAAGTCACATTTTAACCAGAAAAAGACATGTTAGCCCAAAATATAAGAACTTCTAATAAAAAATTCAATCTGAATAGAAGATGACACATATACACCACATACTAGCAATGGTACTAAGGTGGGAATAGAGTTGCAAGGATAATGGGATGGGAAATTAACAACAAAGAGAAGACAATGGTAATAGCTATTTAACTCTCATCTTCTCAGTAATGGTTAGAAAAAAGCTTTCACATACAGGAGAGTGCTTAAAACACAAACTTCCTTTATCCTCATGAGTCATTTTTTAATTGATAAAGTCAGAAATTAAATTTGGAAAACTGCAGAGCTTTTAAAAATATGGTAAACAGGCAGGAGTTGGATGTGTATGTGTCATAGCTATGTGACAATTGAAAGCAATGAGATAAACCCTTTTACTCATAAAATAGGGAAATCTGTGCTTACTATAAAAGCTATAAAATTTACAGGCACAAGTCAAAAAAAAAATCACTAGAGATGTTTCATGGTATCAGACACAATGGGTTTTAAATCACAGGCATATATTATTATGCCTAAGTTGACAGCTCTGCACTGCAATGCAGAAAAGCAAGCAATATTCCAACATCTGCACTTACAGGCAGAGATCAGACATGATTCCAGAATAAAGGGCTCTTTAGCTCTTACCTGTTACCTGTGCAACAACTGCTTGGGAAATCCTCCGATTGGCAAGAAAGGCTTTGATTTCCTCTTTTATCACACTGCTGTCCCTCCTAACAAAAACAGAAGACAAGACCAACAATGTATGTTGAAGGTAGAAATCCTCTTTGCTAAGAAAGGTGAAGCAGAAAGGTGAGAAGGACACAGAAAGAAAGGACACAAAAATAAAAGGTTAACAGACCAAATATATGAAAATGTAGACTCAAACAAACCAAGAAACATCAACAAATATTAAGTCCTAAAACACCACATCATCAGACAGACGCTTTAGTGAATCCACAGTAGATATAAGTCTCATACCAGAAGGATGGTTAATCGCATGCTGTGTATAATTCACATTAGGAACAAGGCTGCCATATGGTTATATACAAAGTTTCATTACAGGGAATGAATATATCTTACACAGACAGAAATCCTACAAAAATAAAAAGCAACAACAACAACAAAAATCAGATGTAAGTAGACTGGGTTTGCATGTTAATTATGCAACTGCACAAATGAGGTTTATTTTAAAACCTGGTAAATAAATAAGAAGAAATCCCTTTGATTAGTAAATAAATAGAAATCTCATCATCCTCTCAATTGCTATAAAACTAGCCATTTAAAAAAATGCTTTTGGAAAAAAAAATGTTTTCATCCTTAAATTTGCCGTATTTCCCCATGTAAATTAAAAGAATATTTAAAGTGGCATGGGTTGAATAAACATTTTAATATTTAAAGAGCATTATTAATTTCCTATTACATATATGTCAGAATATTTTGCATTTGAATTTACACTATATTTTGTGTCCTATGGATTAACTGTTACAGACTTCATTTGTTCTGCAATAGGAAGCTTTGTTAAAGTTTTTACTTATTTAAAAATTCAACCAATTCTCAGAAGACTAGATATTCACTCGATTGACCCTTAAAATGGAATCCTTTATGTCCAAAAGGATTACATAGAGTACTGTTTTGGTTTTTCCTCAAAAGTAACACAGAAAAATAATTATCTATTATCAGTTATCTATGGTCTCAAGCTCTTAGAAATATTTAATTTTTATAGTTATAATAAGCAATAAATGTTGATGAGGATATTAAAAACTTGAACACTGATAGGTTGTTAATATAATCAGTTACTTTGGAAAAGAACTTGTTAATTTCTTTAAAGTTCATAATTCACCATATGACCAAATGATTCTACTTCTAGATATTTGGTCACTAGTAATTAAAGTTAGAAGCAGCAGTGGCATCCACTCCCTAAACAACATGTCTCTAGAAACTCTGTGAACTTTGACCGACGATAGTTACAGAAATGCTTCTGGTATGGTTTACAGTTGTGCTTGACTCCATGGCAACCATCATCAACAACAAAAATTATGTAATTCAAGGGTCAGCAAACTATGGTTTATAAACTACATGCACACAGCAGCCTGCTTTCATGCAACTATAAATGAAGGGTAGTTTTCACAGATAAACACTTAAATTGATTCCATGACTGACACAGTAACTTTAAACTCCAATTAGGCAACATATTTCCTCTAAAAATTTTCTACTCCTTACAGGAGAGGACTTGTGTTACAGAATACATGAATTCTCAATTATTACTTAAATATTTTTAATTATGTCAATAAAAGTTTTGTGGAATTTTATTCCCTCAAACATAAACATCTATGTATGCCATATTGTCAATTTTGCCTGTGAAATACAAAAGAGAAAATGCTAAGAATTTCTGTGGCTTTTTAAAATTAAAATTTTGCCAGAAAAAAGTCTGCTAATTCTGATCTGGTATGATACAAAGTTTATGTAACCTTTAGAAATCATTTTAAGGATGGAATCCAAATTCCTTATAGAGGCTCAAATATTTCTATAGATTATTTAGAAAATTTTAATGCAAAGTATTCTAACTCCTCCCCTGAAAAGAAAACGATGATACAACCCAAATCAGTTATTTCAACTTCTTGGTGACATGAGGCTACTATGTTGTTATAGAGACCTTGCTCTCTTTTGGAAGTTCTGGGAAAGAGAGGAAGGTGAGAGTGGCTGACAATTCTCACTCAAAAGATTCCTAATAGAAGAAATCAGCTCTCTAATCCTATTTTTAAAATTTCTACAACTAAGTTATTTTCTGATCTACATTTTAACAATATGTTTGTATTTGAAATATTTCTTTTAAAGCATACATTTTTAATTTCAAATTAGGTCTATAAGAGATGTACACAGTAAATATATTTTAAAAACAAACATAAGAACTGTTGATTAAAACACAGGTATTGATGAACAGGAGATGTCTTTATCATTAGGTTTTCCAAGAGGCTTAGGTATAGAAAATAATAACATCATATGGTTTCTGATACATATGAAAGTAATCTGACAAGAAAAAAAAAATTAAAACTTATTTCAATGCACAGAGTACTCTAGGAAAATGAAAAGTTTAAGAAATTATTTACCAATATATAATATAAAATGTGTTGTCTGTAATAAAATAATTAAATTGTTATTTTCTTAACTGCTGAATAAATTTATTTAAATAACTTTAAATCCAATTCATCTTTAATAGGCTCAAGTCTTTTATAAGAACTAATACTCTATTTGACACTGGGTGATGCGGCTGGACTCTGTAAGTTGGAAGCTCCTACTTTGGTCGAGGGTCATGTGGTGTGGAATGTTTGGTTGTTTTTATTTAAATAGCTTCTTGTTTAGAGTCAACAAGACCTCTTAGAGGGCCCTTTTTTTCAGGCCTCATGTTATTGTATTTTGGAGGAACACTCTTCCAAGTTGAAGCACTCTTCTGTCAATTTGCTGTACTGAGGTAATCTGGGTTTGCTGGGTAATCTGGGTGATGCAGAACCTTGTGTAATTGGGGGGTGAAATGCCATAACGGTTGCCCGTGGTGTTTGGTTGAACTCCCAGTTTAAGATAGGTTGGGAAACAGGAGTGGCATCTACTTCCTAATTCACATGCCTCTGGAAACTCTATGAACTTGGGGAAACTACGATAGTTATGGAAAGGTTTCAGGTCTTTTGGTCATAGTGTCGTGCTCCACTTGATAGCAATTAACAACAACAACAACAACAACAACAGTATTCGATTATTCTAAAGGGTATTATTCAGATTGTAAATTATTCACAACTTTGCAGTATGGTACTATCAAGGGACTGCAGCATAAAAAGTATGCAAGATATGTATACTTTAAAGTATGCACTTTACTTTCACAGAGTACAGGTGAAGCTACCTGGCAAGTTTTAAAAACCCACAATGAGCCTAACAAAACCAACCTATCTTCCTCTACAGCTTCCCTAAAGACAACTTTTCATATACAAAACATGGCTAAGTAATAAAATTAAGACTTTAGTTTTTTAATTTGGTAAAATTAGTCCTAAAACTTCCTTCAGAAGGCTGTACAATTTTTTAATTCTAGAAATGAAATAATGTCAAATGTGTGCACATGTACTACATACAAAAAATTAATGTATAAATTTTCAAACTGAAAAATAGTAAAAACCTCTGATGGTAGTTTTTTTAAAACATTGGAAAAGTTCTCATAGAAACAAGTAATTCTTTATAACTATGTAAAACTAAGGTAATTATCTGTATCAGATACTTGGTGACAGACATGAAAAGAAGTCTGTAAAGTCAATTTAGATACAAGCAATGAGATGTCATTTAGTTGGTTTTCTTTCACCGCAGTCAAGTCTTTTATGTATTTAAAACTTCACATATTGCTAGTTTGTCCTGGTTACATTTCACTAAGTCTATCATTCACAGTGATCTAAGAACAGATCAAAATCTTGCCCTATGCTCTTGTGCCATCCTCACAATTTCAGCCATGCTCAGTCAGTGGATCACACGCTGTTGATACTGCTACACTATTTCTCTCTCTCTCAGTCTCTGAATCTGGTCTGCCTCATAGCTGATCCTCCAGTTGGTTTTCAAGGATATAAATCACATGGAAGTAGACAGCTCTTTTCTCTCATGTAAAGCAGCTGGCAGATTTAAACTGCTAAGAAAATAGTACCCTTGAATTAGCAGCTCAACTTTTTACAGATTATCCAAACACAGCACCCTAATGTTGTTGCTAATTATAATCAATTCAGTCCTGGAGTAATAAAAGAGTATTCACAATTTGATGAAACCACTGAAATCTGCGGTTTCTATAGCTTATTTATCCAAAATAGACAAACATGTCTTTCTTAAAAACTTCATCTGAAAGCCCTGCTGAAACCTGTTTGGGATTACAGCAATTTGCAAGCCTCCAATGACAGAGATGATGGTTGCACATGAAATATAATGGCTAGGACTCAAATCTATGTTTCCTGTACAAAAGCTGAAAACTTTACCATTAAATCAATGCAAAACATATTTCTACGAACCTCACTTTTTCTTACATCCCTTGGCCCCTGTTTATGTGTTCTCTTTCAAATTGTTAAATTGTAATCTAGGAAATAACTGATTTATTAGTAAAAAATGTCATTTATTTGACTTCTAATCTTTTCTTTCTCTGAAATTTTACATCCACCCTAATGAGAATAAATCCCTTACTCTTCCCTTGTCTTATTTAAATCTCTCATTTTTCATGATTTCTAGATCTCAAGACCCAATGGAATCCAAGAGCAGAGCAGAATGACCTTTTCTCTGATTCCAAGTCTTACTTCCAAGATAAGCAAGCATGTTTTCCCTTGGAACCACTGCCAAATTGGATAGTTTCTACCTAAGAATCATATTTATATAATTATAATTTTATAACTATAATATTATAAACAATATCATAAAGGGCTGTGCGAGGAAGAATGTGGCATCAGGATTTGTGGAAGAATCATCAACAACCTACGTTATGCAGCTGACAACAACCCTGCTCGCTGAAACTGAGGAGGACCTGAAGCGCTTGCTGCAGAAGGTCAAGGACTGCAGTCTTCAATATGGATTGAAGCTCAATATCAAGAAAACAAAGA